ATGAAATTACACACTAATCTATGTATATTCATGAATACAATATACATTTTCATATGACCCAGAATGACCCTGAAAAATGACCTTTAAGACTTTAAGGTTACATCAAAGCTTTTCTGTGTTTTCTACCCAATCTACTGACTTTTATATAAGCCGAAGAAGCCAGTTAAAAGGCTCCACTGTCAAGACCATCAATAAGACAGGCAGTGTGAGCTGCTGGATGAGATGATTAAATGGTTGCTCTATTCTCCCCGGCACACAAAACAACTTCCTGTTTTCAGACAGAGCTCCTCATCCAAGCGCAAACAGAGCAGAAAGCTACCTGCCAGAACACCCTTTTCTCTTTTTAACCAGCAACAGTCATAGCTTCACTTCACTTTGCCTTGAAGCAATCTGTGTGAAAAAGGCCTATGAGGCCCTGTTACATGACATATGACAGGGTGGTCCAAAATAGCATGAATCTTATCTGAAGAAGAAATGAAACATTTGTCACCTTTGACGCAAATATCTGCTCTGCTTAAAAACCTATACAGCGATGATCTGAGCTACCCATCTTCTAAAATCAACTCTAGTTTTACTAAACGAATAGTAACGTGGAAATGAAAGAGCATGTCTGCTGTGCGTGGATAGGTATTCTTTGCTGTAGATAGCTGTTGTAAAGCTGCAGGCAGCAGTGTCATGCAGATATACCTGTGAGTCACGTTGTTTCATGTCAGCACTGACAGTATCTACTGATCACACTTTGCAATCCCTCATCTGGTTGTTATCTCTTAGACATGCAGATTTTTGCCACAAACATTTAGATGCAACGTTGCAAATTGTAAACTTACCCGCTTTACCTACTAACCTACTACTAAACTACTAACTAAACACAAATAATAGCATTTTTAACACTAATACTGCTTTCTGCTCCCGAAAATGCTCAAATCTTTGAATGGCAAATGACTACAAAACACTTTAAATGTGGTCATTTTTGGAAGCACTTACATAAACAAACCTCGGTACAAAATCAAAGCCCAGATTGTTCAATGAATAGTAGCTGTTTGGTCCCAGTTTATGCACAAGCATATTTTTGTATTTTTGGATGCTATTTCTCACTCCCACATAGACAACAAAGCATATGAGTGAAGCAACAGGAAGTTGTCTCTCCAAACACAAGACTGTGCTCCACACTCCAAATATGGATGGTCCAGAATTACACTGCATCCACTTTTTTTTTTTTAAAACCATAAACTGTGTAGGCATTTTCAAAAGGATATTCAATCACAGTTCAATGATACTTCACTCCACTCCCATGCTCTCATAACGCATAATCCACTCCTGCACCACACTTATGGGCTCAAAACCCAAGGCTCTAATCTGTCATGTGCTTTAAGCTAAATCCTCGCGGGTCCTGTTGTTTCTTGCAATTACCAACATCTATTATATGGAGCACCATGCCATGCCCTGTTGGGAGCTTTTGTTATACTATTATAATGCACCACTTATTATCTGGATTTAGTATTACCAGATATTTAAATTTGTTCGCACACACATTCTGTCCCAGTGAAACTAATTAGAGTTACATGTTATCAATAAAACAGACCGCATGCCTTCCTTAATTACTCTCCGTGCAGAACTGTAGCTCAGGCTTTGACATGCAGCTGTGTATCTGAACAGAAACAGTGAAATGATTGCTAAACATCAGAAAATATCTGCTAAGTCTTCAGCTTTTGCTTCTTTAGACTGCCTATTGTGGATTTTAAGGTTTGTTTTGGATGAATAAGCCAGATTGCAGGACTGATTTTATCCCGAGTTTAAGAGTTGGAAAACTCTGTTTATTTTTAATGAAATCTGCACCTCCCCCCCACCCACCCACCCACCCACCCAAACGTCTGCTAGTGATCCAAGAGTTTGGTTCAACTGATCAGCATTTAAAGATGTGTTTGCTCATTTGTTCTGGCTCTGAAATTTGACATGAGCAAATAATCGTATGCTTCCATGATGAGTTTTCCTAGGGTGCCAAATTGTGGCAGGTGTTAATTAGGGATGGGTACCGGTATCTGGTGCCTTTATGGCACCGGTTCTGACATAAACGGTAGTAACCAGACCGAAAAGCAGCGCACATTTCGGTGCTTTATTTCGGTGCTTTTTTCCTGAGTGTGATACACTTTGTCTAGCCAATCATTTTACGTTTCCGAGGATAGTAGGCGGGCCAGGTACGTACGTTCTGTTAGAGCAGAGCTACAGATTAAAAATGCCCAAGGCGAAGCGGTCAAAAGTCTGGCTGTACTTCACAGCAAAAATGCAAACTCAGCAGCCTGCAACAAGTGCTTTAAGCTGATACTGTGCAAAGGAGGTAACACCTCGAATCTGATGAAACACCTGGCGACGCATAGCGTTTTTTTTAAAAGCCGAGAAATGCCCGTATTTGATAGCTTGCTGCGAGACCTCACACCGAGCACATCTACTGCGGGTGTGGTGCCTGTTATCGGACCCGGAGTTAGCAACATCCCCCAAGAACCCGAAGAGGAGAGTCCTGGCCCCTAGCCCTGCCAGTGTAGCAGAAATGATGATGGATGATGATGGCAGCAGCAGCCGTTCTTCTCTGCGTGAGTAGCTTAATGTTGTTCGTGTGTAATTTACGTTGAGTAGGCTAACCACGTTATTACATTAATGCATGTAAGGTGAACTAGCAAACACCGTCGTAGTTACATGCGGCTGTCTTCTTGTTTGATGGCAGATACTCCCTTCACCCTGGCCAAAAAGGCTAAAATGACCAAAGAAAAAGTGGGAAACAGCTAACATGAGAGGTTTTTGGACAAAGTTTGTGTTTTTTCCATTGTTTAAGCACTGCTTCCAGCCAAGAGTGATACCATATATGCCCCATAGCTGCAGAAAAGGCTAACATTGTTATCTTTTTACAAAAAGAGAAAGAAACAACTTATTGCCAGTGAGAAGCAACTTCAAAGCAACATGAGGTTTTTGGACCAATTTTGTGTTCTCCATTCTTTAAGCACCGGTTGAGCACCGTTTAAGCACCGGCACCGTTTCAAAAGTACCGGTTTGGCACCGGTATCGGATAAAACCTAAACGATACCCATCCCTAGTGTTAATGAACGGTAGGACAGTGCACCACTATTTTGATAAATCTTCCTGAAAGACTTTTACATTCAAAACAAGGGTTTATGACCCTCTCTGAAATGGTTTTAGTGGTTCAGACTTTACCTTCAGGTGCATTGTTCCTGTCAACTGCTGTTTCTTAGTTGACATTACAAACTGATGAAACAGATACCTGAAAACACTTTACTAGCTGCTTCGTCTGGTTAGTGGGTATCAGTTATTTCAGTTTTGAGAGTGCTAGGCCAGAAGAGCCAAGGTTTGAAGAGTCAGTGTGTTTATAAAGCTTTGAAAGTTACATAACCTGAACTTTATTGTGAACAAACCAAAGTCTTAACAAGCTCATTAAGGTCTGAGACCTCCGATCTCTTGGGGATACCTAAACAGTTTCTTTCCCTTTTTAAAACCCCCCCACCAAAATTAAACAACATAATGCACTAACTGTGATTAAAATGTGGATAATAACGGGTCACCTTTTACTTAATGCAAACTAAAGTTTGGTGCAGTTTAAAATTGCACAGGTTCTCCCACTTTTCCTAGGCATCAATGTCAAACGTAGGTGAAGGATAAAGATGTTTTGAAAGTTCACCGGCACGGACTGTGAAACCTGGGAGGTAAAAGCAGAGATCAAATCGGCACAGCATTATGAAATCAATTATTCATGCATGTTGAAGAGAGACGTCGTCAAAGTTACACCGCCTTGACGGCCCATCACTCCCGGTCAGATGGTCATACAGTGCAACAGATGTGGAAAATCAAGCTGTTCCCGTGCTGGTCTTTGTGAACATGAGCAAGCTTGCCAAGTCTAACCCACACTTGAGTCACTTAATACACTGAAAATGATGGACTGCTGCTGATGATTATGGTCTCGGCCTACACGTAAGATATTGCACTGAGCAGAGTATAATGTTGAGTATTACATGCTATGCAGTTACACTGTTACACACAAATAAATAATGAAAAAACACAATGACTTCAAGCTTACTGTTTCTCAAGGCAGTTTTATTTAATTAAGCAGGTCATGTCAGCTCTGCTCTGCTGACATGAGCTGTTTATCAGAAGTGTTAGCTTCTTTCTTATGATCAATTTATTTATTCACAGATTTGTATTTGAAGTGTTTTTCTTAGCAGAATAAAGTGACTCCACTGGAAATATACTGGAACAACCTTATGCTTTGTAATGATGACTAAATTACTCTTTAATCTTAAGCTAGGCAGATGTATACCGGACACAGTAAGGTTTACAGTTTGGTCTAAGGATCCAAGAAGTAAGAAGTAATATGAAAGTAGGGTGAAACAGCAGTCTGGTCAAAACTGAGATACGTTGGCAAAAACTGCACCTGGGACAGAAATATGTTGCTTCTATGTGCAAAAAGAGGAAAAGTGAGCTTTACAAAGCAAGAAATATCTATCAGATTATTGCAGTAAAGATGTGAAATGTATGTTGTTGTTTTTCAAATCGAATTAGGTTAAACTGCCCACTAATTTGATAACTAAAGGGCTGTCACACCTATATTTGCATCTAAATTCAGTGTCACTTGTTGCATGGTGATTTGCACATTTGGAAAAACAAACATGGATTAGAATGTCATCAATGTAATGCAAATCATGTGTTTGGTTTTCTCTTCATCAGGAAGATTTTGTTTATTTATTTTTGTTATAATCGATAAAATGATACGATATGACAAATCATACAGAACTTCTTGTTTGGTGGAAATTTTGACTTAAACTTCCACATGGCATTTAATAACATGTCTATCAGACAGCAAAGCCATGTCTGTAATATTGGCACAATCTTTAGGATCTAAAATGTTGTTGTGAGTACAGCCCCTCAAGAAACAACAACACGATCACGTTTAAACAACATAAAAATGCAGCTGTGTGTGTGGGATGGAGTGAACTTACAGGTAACTGTTTCTCCAGGCAGTTGTTGAAATTCTTGGTTTGATTGGGCTTCAGCTTCTTGAGAGGGATTCGCGTTTCCCCGATGAACTCGTTGTGGCGGAATTTGTCCTCATCACACACTGAAATCCTGAGATGACAAGAACAGAGAAGTGTAGGAGGACATGAGTAGAGCGAGGTTTAGGTTAGGGTTTGTTGCTAAGAGGAGGCTTAAAGCCATAAAACCAGTCATTTTCCACCATCCACCTTCACAGGGCTTCAATTTGTACTTTGTAGTCACAGCTGCTAAATCTGTAGGACCACAGCACTCAGAGCACTGAAGCTACAACCAAGTAGTTCTGCAGGGATCATTGTCAGACTCTATCAGCATGACAGGAAATGATGAGATAATTATACACGAGGACGCGTTCAACCATGCACGGATCAAAAGATTCAAACATACTAAGATGGAAGGGGAAACTCTACGTGAGAAGACGTTGAGAAAAATTTGACATCATGTCAAAGTCATTTAAGACCCAGTCACGAATTCATCTTGAACACGTCTCCATTTGCTCGTCTTATTTACTCAATTAGTGCAGCACGAATCGAACTGTGCTGTGGCGCATTGTCCTTTCTGCCTGTTTACTGATTTCTATTATGTGCCCACTTTGCATTTGTTTCCACTGAACACACAAACAAAACAAATCCTCTTTTCAGTGCAAGACGGCGTCCTTTCTTAACAACAATAAAGACGTGGATTTATAATATAACACAGTAGGCTACAGTCACAAAAGCTAATGATTGATGGGGAACCGAAAGGTCTCTTGCAGTCAAAAGGTGCACGGGGCCACAAAATGAGCTTTGTGTTTTACTGGAGATCTATATTCTTCGCCAGCATTTCATTAAGTTTATAATGAAAGCCAATTATTGGTGCTCCCTGCAGACCTATGCTTTCAATAAATGCAGAGAGCGCCCACCGCCCTAACATGACATGATTCACACTCACGGCTCCAGCATGCCTGTGTTGGGGAATACTGTTTGTTTCAAGTGCTTTTCCGCTGCATAATCAGCTGCAATACTGAGGAAAACATGCAGCCTTTAGGAACCGCACAGCGTTAGGATGTTGTATGTACGTTAATATGCATCACTAATACAGTAGATTGTATGGGACGTGATGCAATCAGACTCTCAGTGAAAATAACTGGACAGGTGCTGAATTCAAATTTCAATTTCCAAGAAGAAATAGGTTGCGCTGTTTTGGAAGCATGGATGCTTTTCTCACAGTCTATTGTTTCTGGAAAATGGTTAATAAAGGTGTTTTCTGTGTGTGAATAGATCTTTTGGCTTGTGTGCACAGTGTCTGTCACATCTCATCTCTGCTACATTTGCTTCAGGCCTTCATTGTTGTTGTGGCATTCAGTCCAGTAACAATACAGTATTTTTTTTTCTGCTCCGCAACACAAAATAATCAGCAAAATACAGTCACGTATTTGCAGCGTGTCGATAAGGTTGACAGTCGGTCACTGCAGTCCAGCAATTACTCCAGCTGTCCCAGAAGTACAGCGAGTGCTTTGCAGCTTATATTGTGTAGTAGGAAAGCATGTTTTCACAAAATACATTCAAGCTATTAGAAGTAATGCAATAAAACTTTTGCAAACATTCTGTGATGATTTGGTAGTCACTTGTGTAAACTTAGGGAGGTGATAAAAAATGTTTTGTGTCCCTTGTTTCTGTCTTGTTTGCTGGACAAATGGAGGACAAAGTGACAGGCCTAAAAAAACAGTATCTGAAAGTCACGTCCTGAGGAAATGCGAAAAAAAATACAGCAAACACCTGACATAGAACCAGCGAGATGCATCGGGCTCTTCAGCTGATCCACCATCTGATTTTAATCCATCACACAATACCATCGTGAAAGACTAAAAACCTATTTGGATAGAAGAAGACACAGAGGAACACTATCAGTCACGACTGGTCTCCTCAGAGCCCAGATTTCAACGATACTGAAGCAGTGTGGGATCGTGACAGACAACAGAAGAACAACCAGCTAAAATTCAAAGAAGAGCTTTGAATGTCCTTTAAGAAGGCTGGAGACCCAGTCCTGAAGACTACTTAAAGAAATTGTAAGAAAGTTCGACTGTGTTGAAGAACAAAGGTCATCATACCAAATACTGAAAAGCTCATTAGAACTGTAAAAACGCTGCTTTTGCCTCTTATACTGTAGCTTCATGCATGCTTGCATGTTTCAATAAATCATTGCACCCATTTCTAATCTTCCTAGATAAATATGAAGAAGTTTTTGCACAGTACTGTATCTAGATAAACATTGTATTTAATGGCAAAATGTCACCAGCATAAAACATTCCCATTAGTGTTAACTGATTGTAAGAAGGGAGACTTTCAGAGAAACCTCCCCTCTTAGCACGGGCTTGCTTCTTAGTAAGCGCTTGCTTCTCAGAATGGGCTGGAAATCTTTGAAGACATTTTGAGCACTGCTTTGTCGTTTGGCATCTGTGCCCTGACATATTGGGTTATGGCATTTGTGAGATCTGTCTGTCACCACCAGTTTCTCATGTTTTAAATAAGATTACAGCTGTGAAGAGGAGTATTTTACCCCAAACAACAGTCGAGGTTTTAGTGAAATTAGAAAAAGCAGGCAAAAGAAAAAAAAAGAAGTTACAGTTTAACTAAGTTCAACAACCTCAACAATTACAATATCTCCCTATGAGGAGCACTTGGCAACTGTGGAGAAGGTGAACTCCCTTTTGACAGGAAGAGACCTCCAGCAGAGCCCAAAAGGACATAAATAGGGATCTTTAATAAATTAAGTCCCAAAGGTAACTTGAGGTGTGAATACCAGACCTTCAAAGAGAAAACAGTTAAGTGGAGATTATGTGATTATGTGCAAAATATCCACTTCCACATGGAAACACAAAAGATGATTTCAGCACTGTCAAGGACAAGAAAACCCTATTACTCTAAAAATATAGAAATGATGGCCAATCAGAAGTCTGGAGATAATGGTTATTATTATCAAAGTTGAACAAAGAGCGAGAAGTCTTACGTTTGGAGAAAATCGTCTCATGCAAACAGTAACATGGTGCAAGTCTGTTGTCGAAAAACAAAATAAACATGCACATGCACAGTAAAACAGTATTTACATGTGGACAATGCTCTAAAAACTGGGCGCCCTCTAGTGGTCATTTCAATGAGTGCATGTCAAATGTCGGCTCAAGGGGTCAGTTTAGATTCGTGGGTGGACCTCGGCATGCTGCAAACGGAAAAACAACTTTTGCAATGCTTTATTTTACAAGGGTGTATTTTAATATAAAACATGTAAAACATCCCTAACCACCCAGACTAGTGGGGGCTTTTTGAAGTAGAAACACACCTGTGTGTTATTTCAGGAACAACACTTTTTTTCAGAGAGGAGGAACAAACAAACCAAAAGGATCATTAAGCTGAGGACTTGTTCCACCCACATTTATCTTGAGGAAGTGAACTGGAGGACAAATCGATGGAGCCGGTAAATGAAATGCTGTGAAAGTCCCTGAAATGTTTTCACGGCATTCCAGCACATAACATTAACTCTAGAAACACATTTGCTACTGGGGTGCTTGGGGGTAAGTGAAGACAAAAGCAAACTGAAATCCTCCACTGCATACGGCCCACCTGGGATGTACGAAATGATTATGCATATGATTGCATAACCTACCTCCGCCACTTGATTGTACAGTGTTAACACTTTGGTAAAAATACAGGAGCAAAGAATGGTGAAGTAATAAAAACAAAGTGCTCTCATTGCATAAGGGCACCGCATTTATCTCAGGAAGATGGAGTTTTAGTGTGTTCTCAGGTGTTGTAGTGAAACACAAATAACCAAACAAACAGGAAGTCCTCTCACCCAAACAGAAGTGCTATTTGGAAATCTGACAAATAAAGGATTTCCCAACTGTTATTACGATCTGAAGCTATTCCAGACTCGGCATGCAAACTCGCAGTGAAAAGGAAGAAAGAGGAAAAGCAACATCATCATTCACTTCTGCTTGAGAGGCTGTGGTTAAACACAGGCTGTAATGTAGTTAGTCTAAAACAGAAACCAAGAAGAAGAGAAACTGTCAAACATCACTGCTCCCTGAAAATGATCTTCTGAAGCCTTTAAAAACAGATCCACGGCAGCTAAGCACACCAAAACAACAAAAGACAGATTTATTCTATCCCTCTCTGCCTTTCAACTCTCCCTTCTATTTTTCTTCTTGTTCACTACACACACCCTTTCCCCCTTATATCCGTCCTTATATTCCTTCCTTCCTCCCACACCCCCTTCCTTCCTTCCTTCCTTCCTTCCTTCCTTCCCTCCTCCCACACGTCCTTCCTTCCTTCTTTCCTTCCTTCCTTCCTCCCGTCCTTATAAGATGTGTTTGTTATTTTCTTACTTTGTCTTCTATTTCCCCTTCACTTCCTTTTGTTCTTTGGTTAAGTTTTATTTTCTTCCATTTTCTTCCTCTTGCCTATTATTCCTCTATTTTCATTTTCTCTTCCTTCCTTCTATCCCTTGCTACTTCCTTTCTTCCTTGTTTCATTCCTTGCTTACTCTGTTCCTTCCTTCTTTTGGCTCCTTCCCTTTAAACCTTCTTCCACCCTTCCCCATTTTTTCCTGCCTCTTCCTTTCTTCCTTTATTCCTTCTCTTCTTCCTTGCCTCCTTGGTTCCTTTCTTGCTTTCCCTGCTGCTTCTTTCCTTACATTGGTTTTTCCATCCATCCATCCCTCCATTCATCTTTCCTACCTGTATTCCTTCCTTCCTTACCTCACAATGTAATGCTCCCTTCTTTTCTTGCTTCCTTACTCGTTTACCCTTCTCCTTCTTTTTTGGGGTTTCTTCCTTACTTCCCTTTAACTTCTTTCATCCCACACCCCCTTCCTTCCTTCCTTCCTTCCTTCCTTCCTCCAACGCCCCCTTCCTTCCTTCTTTCCTCCCTCCCACATCCAGTTCCTTCCTTCCTTCCTCCCTTCCTTTCTTCCTCCCAAACCTCCTTCCTTCTTTCCTTCCTTCCTCCCACACCCCCTTCCTTCTTTCCTTCCTTCCTCCAACACCCCCTTCCTTCCTTCCTTCATTCCTTCCTCCCACGCCCCCTTCCTTCCTTCCTTCATTCCTTCCTCCCACGCCCCCTTCCTTCCTCCAACACCCCCTTCCTTCCTTCCTTCCGCCCACACTTCCTTCCTTCCTTCTTTCCTTCCTTCCCTCCTCCCACACGTCCTTCCTTCCTTCCTTCTTTCCTTCCTTCCCTCCTCCCACACGTCCTTCCTTCCTTCCTTCTTTCCTTCCTTCCTACCCCATGCCTCCTTCCTTCTTTCCTTCCTTCCTCCCACGCCCCCTTCCTTCCTTCCTCCCACACCCCCTTCCTTCCTTCCTTCCTTCCTTCCTCCCACGCCCCCTTCCTTCTTTCCTCCCACGCCCTCTTCCTTCCTTCCTTCCTTCCCTCCTCCCACACGTCCTTCCTTTCTTCTTTCCTTCCTTCCTTCCTTCCTTCCCTCCTCCCACACGTCCTTCCTTCCTTCTTTCCTTCCTTCCTTCCTCCCATGCCTCCTTCATTCCTACCCCCATGCCTCCTTCCTTCTTTCCTTCCTTCCTCCCACACCCCCTTCCTTCCTTCCTTCCTCCCACACGTCCTTCCTTCCTTCTTTCCTTCCTTCCTTCCCTCCTCCCACACATCCTTCCTTCCTTCTTTCCTTCCTTTCTTCCTACCCCCACGCCTCCTTCCTTCCTTCCTTCCTTCCTTCCTTCCTTCTTCCCCCACCCCCTTCCTTCCTTCCTTCCTTCCCTCCTTCCTTCCTTCCCTCCTCCCACACGTCCTTCCTTCCTTCCCTCCTCCCATACATCCTTCCTTCCTTCTTTCCTTCCTTCCTTCCTCACCTCCTTCCTTCCTACCCCCACGCCTCCTTCCTTCTTTCTTTCCTTCCTCCCATGCCCCCTTCCTTCCTTCCTTCCTTCCTTCCTCCCTCCCATGCCTCCTTCCTTCGTTCCTTCCTCCCTCCCATGCCTCCTTCCTTCGTTTTATTTCTTCATTTGTATCCATATGTCCAACCACTCCTTTCTTCTTTTTTCCACATCTTTCATCCCTTCCTTCTCTTTCCATTCATTAAGTGGACACACGTGTGTAGCACTGACAGTACCTGAGTGTTTTGCGGACCATATCCTCATCAGTGATGCCGTAGTAGGTCAGGGTCTCATTCCAGACTGGGTTGAGTGTATTGTGCAGGGTCTTGGTTCTGAGTTTATTGGCCTGAAAGACAAACAAGGAAGACTGTGATTAAAAAGAGCTGAACATCATTCATGAGTGAAAAACACTGAGCTCCTCCTACAGCTCAGGAGAGCTCATCCCTCAGGTGTCATTTTCATTGAAGAACTGACAGAATTATATAAACATCCTTGAAAACGTACAAAGCCTCTCTGCCAGGGTGAAAATTTGTCAACGCGTTGACGTCTGGTGCCATGCATGCAAACACGAGCTCGGTGCTGCTGCATACTGAACGCTGTCAGGAATGAAATATCAGCAGCAGACTGCATTTACATGAAGTGACAGGCATAATCAAAGCATGGCAGGAAGTGGGTAAAAACACTGAGAACAATGTGATGAATGCTCTGAAGTTAAAAGATAGACACCATGGTTGTTCTGGCTCAGTGTGATTCTGTTTCTGTCAACAGCACATTTTTGAGAAAACAATTTTCCAGTCACTGACCTTTCACTGGGATTAAATCTTTATACTTGAAAAACAGTCTGAAACAAAAACAAATGCACCACCTAACCAGCTAATACCATACACAACTTTAAATTAATATTTTCATAACTGATGCCTGCTGTGAGTGAATGGCACTGAAGTCAGGAGGTGAAGAGCTAAGATTAGGTCAGTACAAAGACACGGTGGTCGAAAACATACACTGTATATAAAAGATGGATCCAGGCACAGGGACAACTCCTACTACTGTTTTGAATCCTGGACTTAAACATATTTGCCATATTTTTTCAAACCAGATATCACAATTGACTCACACTCCACACCCACATGACAGGACAGGGCTTGTTAGTCACAAAGAACCCACAATGCAAACAGCACATACTGCTTTCTTGTCCTTTTTGACTGCAATGGTGAGCATAATCTACAAAATATGTTTTAACTGACATCTGAAACCTCAAACACAAGTTCATAAACATGTCAAGTGTTTTTGAACTTGTGTTCAATTTACATTTTCAGTTTACAGATTTAAAGTCATGAAAGAGAAGCCCCTTCACATTTATAGCTCAGGTGCATGGACCGGTTCTTCTATAGCGCCTTTTTTGACATTCAAAGAGCTTTGCACAGCTTGCCTCATTCACACAGGCACTGCTTTCTATCTAACATTAACACTGCATCAGAGAGCAACTTGACGTTAGTATTTTGCCCGAGGATATTTGGCATGCAGACTGGAGCAGACAGGGATCAAACCACCAACCTTCCAATTAGTAGATGACCTGCTCTACCACCTGAGCTACAGCCACCCCATCAAAGATTCTTTGATGCAAGCTGAAATTGATGAAGCATTAACACATATTATGCTACTCCTGATAGTCTTTTAGTGAGGTGGCCTGAGTGCTTCCTTTGTTGGGAAGCTTTCCACACATGTTTAACCTGTAAGCCTCGCCTGAGTGGGCCAGAGGCAACAAGATTAGCCTTCACCTACAGAAGGGTTACAGCATATTCATCTTGAATCATACTTGGTATTAATGTCTGTCTCTCTTCCACAGCATGCCTTTTATCCTTCAGTCTTCCTTCTCGCTCCCCAACCGGTCGCAGCAGATGGCCCCGCCCCTCCCTGAGCCTGGTTCTGTCGGAGGTTTCTTCCTGTTAAAAGGGAGTTTTTCCTTCCCACTGTCACCAATGTGCTTGCTCATAAGGGGTCATATGATTGTTGGGTTTTTTCTCTGTATGTGTTATTGTAGGGTCTACCTTACAATATAAAGCACCTTGAGGCGACTGTTGTTGTAATTTGGTGCTATATAAATAAAACTGAATTGAATTGAGCTGATCTTGGCTGCAGTGTCCCCCAATGGCTCTCTTCAATTCTTTGGGCTCTAAGCTGATCTTGTTTTTTGTACACTTGGATAAAAGAATCGTGTCTGGATAAGTGTAGTTACTAACACCTCTTCCAGGAGAAAGCTCGGTGCAACGGTCGGGTCAGGTTCTTGGCAGTTGTTCTTGCCTTTGGAGCCTCGTCTACTTCCAAATTTCTAAAATCTAAAAACTTTGAGTGGCTGCACCCGGTGTGTATTTGCTTTGACCATCTTAAAAACTGTTTATAGAACCGGCTTTACATACAGGTCTCGACAAGCAAAACTTTCAAAGTTATTTTTAAAGCTTTGAATAAAAGCATTTTCTGCTCTTTCACAGAGTCTGACAAGTAGCTTCAGCTGAAGACATTAAAGCAGAATATATTTTTGAGTTTGATGAATAGATCTGAATGCTTTCTTTAAAACTTTTCATCCTGAGTTTGACAAAAGCACATTTTCTGGCACACAACTTGGCCCTTTTAGTTTTCTTTCACTGCTCTCGTAACAATGGTTTTGGCTCCAATTCAGTGAAAAAGCCTTAAAAATATACTGCACTCTACCTGCTTAATGCCAAGCGGCAGACAGACGCGGTCAGACATTTCCCTCAGGAGGTGGTGAGGAACAAAACAGAGCTAAAATAAGTGTGTACAGACATGTGCTGCTAAAGGTGACACAGCTGATTAAAAGATGTAAATCTGTGATCAAAGTACAAATCAGCCGTTGCTCCTTCCACTGGGTGTATGAGACACGAGTCCAAACGTCAGAAGTGGCTTGTTTAGTAAGATCTGCATCGCTGTTTATTGGAGCAGCCATCAGACGTACACTTTGTCACTTCATCGATTGCAAGTTAGGTGATGAAAATCGCTGTGACAAGTGACGCGGCTTTATCGGCGGAATATTGTTTGGGGAAATCCTGGGAGCACGCTGCTGACATGATGAGGATGGAGACCCTGTGCCATGTGTGAGGACATGTGAGTTTGTTGAATTTAATCAATTAGCTGCTGTGATTATTTGCAAGTCTGATGGCAGGGTTCCACATAACAAGGCTCTCGCTGATTGTTTCTCCCTCAATCAGCGGTTGTTTCCCCCGAGGAAGGCTGTTGAATAGGCACACACACACTATGTGTATATACACACACACACACACACACACACACACAC